GCTGGAGACAAAGATTAGACTGTAAATGCTGTGTTCAGCACATACCTCATGATCTGTACAATGGTGTCAACATTTTGGTCACCAATTAGTTGTATGTGATGTCTACTTATTGTACAGAAAACTGCCATATATTATACATAACAGTCATCCTGAGTAGATCACTGTTTTATTTTTTGGATAAAGCACCAACATATTTTACAGCGCAGCGATGATGTGACTGTAAGAAAAATATATCAAAATATAGTATTTCAGCATGATTAGGCAGCGATAAAAAAAACATAGAATAGATATCAATTTCACAATAAAGAATCCCTCACCTTACATGGAAATATGGGTAAATAACAATTAGAAAGTATTTAAGTAGCACCTTGAAATTAGAATATTCAAATTTATTGACATATTTATTTGTACATAAAAACATACAGTAGAGCACACATATCATGCAGATGTTTGTTTGTGAGCCCCCTAAAGTACATGGGGTGAGGATGCTTCGAGAAGAAGGTACTCCTACATGAGGAACAGAAAAAAATAACATTAATCTGGAAAAATATGGCTCACGCTTGAAAGAGCCACTCAGAGCTCAATTTTTGATTTTTACTATCAGGGCTGAATAATCCCCAGAAATGGGTCTCTTTGTGCTCACCCTCAGTATTAGTAAAAGTATAGCATGTGGATTAAGTGTTAAAATAGATATTCTTTAGAGTTCCTTTTTTGTTTTTTTTCCATTTCCAGCACATTCTATAGTTCGAATAGAAACAGTCTATGAAGAGGTGCGAGGTTCACTATTTAGTGTTAGTCTATGGAGAGGTGCAGGATTCACTATGCAGTCTATAGAGAAAAGCAGAAGTCATTCTGTACCTGAGCAGATGCCACTCCTTGTTTGGCTTGAAATCTCAGCCACATGAAGAGGTCATCATCTTCCTTCGTCTGGTGCTTCAAGACATCCTCATCAATCAGACGTATGAACTCCACAAAGGCCTGTACGGGGAGGGAGGGAACATTTGATCTCATTCAATTGATTAAAAACATTTCTATTAGTTTTGGACTTAGCATATATTACGACTTTGTGTTAATTATTAAAAAAGTAACCATTTCAAGTCATTATCTAGGCCCTTTTTTACTCTGCAAAACTTTATGTAAATCTGCCTGCAGATACTAACTTCAAGCAAAAGGATGTTTAAAGTCATTATGAAAGAAATATTCTTCAAATCAGTTCTGATGGTCGCCCCAGTAAGGTGAGCGTTTGGGAGAGTTGATATGTCTACATCATTTGAACTAAGGTGACGTTCTAGTCGTCCCGGTGGCTTATGTCACCTTATTAGACAATCTAAATGAAGCCCCAAGACGAGCATGAATATTGGTATTATACCTGATCTTTGCTGGGTTGCATTCGATCAGTAATTGTCTGCAGGGCGACATTAGAGTAATAGGCATAGGACACATCGTAGTCCACAGGGTAATTGTCCACTCCAAAGTGATGTTTGTGGCCCAGCGACATCTGGGAAAGTCGCTCGTCCTTCTGAGCTGAGAGGAGTTTTAATTTCAGAGCCTGTAGGGAACATCATGTAGGTAACATGTAGTTAAGATCTGCCTTATTCACTTCCCCAATTCATTGTGTTGTTCAGTACTATAAAACCATAACAACTAACTGTCCCAAAGTCAAGATATCTATTGTCCATAACCGGATCTGCAAAAAGGTACCTCCTGA